TTAGCCAATCAAATTTTAGCAAAATATAAATTTTTTAAAAAATCTATATTAGTGGCCAAAATTTTAAAATATATAAAAATATTTTAGTTAATAATTTTAATTCTACTAAAGCAAAAAAAAAAATTTAGAGTTTGGGTTCTGTAGCTTATTGGTTAAGCTCTTAAACTCCTACAGACAAGATCAACAGTTCAAGTCGGGCTAGAAACAAATTGAATAATTTGTTTCTATAACTTTTAAGAGTTATAATTAAACATGAAACCTTGTGGCTAAGTTCAAATGCAAGTATGAAGCTAGAATAAAAATTCTTGGAAAGAGATCTAAATATAGAGTATTGATACTATGTATAATTGAAGTATTACAGAAGATTGCGACTATAAAAATTGCGTGAATAAGTTTTTAAGAGATAAGACAACATCAATATCCTTGTATCTCTAAGTTTGGCAATACTAATATCTTTACATCTAACTTGTAGGTACTTGCTTGAAAGAGTGATCAACAGATTACACAAATAAGTTCTTATTTAAAAAGAAGATACAGGTACTTGTTTAGAAGAGTAATTGTTATAACCAAAGTTAAAAATAATAAGAAAAGTGGTAAATATATGAATAGTCTGTGGCAAAAGATTGGCCTTATTAGAATCAGAAGTACTTCTGGTAATACAGAATAAAAATACTATAGAAGGCAAAGATTATAGAGGTTGTTTGATATTCTGTATACATATAAAAGTACCGAATCAGACTCCAATCACACCTATATAGAAGTCTATGATGAACAAGTCTAGGATTTATCAATCTCTGAGGTTTACAATAACAAATAGTAATATAGCATTACTGAATATTAGCAAAATAAATCTATTACTATCCTATATAAATTAAATACTATTATTAAATAAATACTTGCTAATAATATATTTTAATTGATAATCTGTGAGTCAATCAGAGAAAATGATCTATGTTTATTAAGTAATTGTGATACAAATTAATTAATAAAAATTCTGATTTGTGAATGTGAAGTTTTTTTGTATACTTACCAATTTAAAATTGTTTATTCATCTACTACGTATGTACAAAATCTGCCTACGTACTCATTACTTCAAGACACATCTACCAAAATCTAAACAAACATGCTTGCTAGATAAGAATACTTCTGCTTGATCAGAGCTCATACTAGAATGAAGCCTACTTAAATCTACCCACTTGTTAGTTTAAAAAACCACCCAATAGCCTACCTATCCTATTAGTTTAAAAACTACCCAGACCAACCCACCAGTTAGTTATAGTAGGGTAGTTGACAAGCTGGTGAAGCGAGCTTTTTTTTAGCTTGCCAAATAGTGGTGAGAATCTTGCCACTATTTGGTGAGCTAAAAAAAAGCTCGCCTCGCCAGCTTGCTAACCATCCTAAGTTATAGCCAACCCACCTATTA